CCCATAGGCCGTTTTCCAATACTCGATTCGCCTCCGTCAGGCTTCAACTTCTTTACTACCTAACTTTGAAGTTGTAAGCGCATGGAAAGTCTGATAGTGCCGCAAAGCATCAGGTAAGATGTAAAACAGCAAAACATTACAGTACTTTAATTTTATTTAAACACTTCAGGCCCACAATCGGGGATTGGTTTCGCAGATGAAGCCTGCATGGAGACGAACTGAGTATTGGAAAACGGCCTTAACCAACAGTGGTAAATTCCTGAACTTCAAACTTCAATTAGAACCTCAAGAGTTTCTCAGGCGTTCGAGACGCACATCAAAGTAAAGCCTATTCTTCGCTCTTATTCTTAGACTCCACCCAACCTTCTTTTCCCGTATCCCCTCTCACCCAACGTGACTTTTCTCTTCCCATCTCTATCCCATTTCTCACCTATCTCTCACTCACCCACCCCTCACCCAGCTCAGCTTTCTGGTAAATCGCACCGAACTTCTGTATTTTGGCGACCGTGGTCTACGCCGTACATATCTCGATGCACAAAGCTCGGTCGCTGTTTTACAGCGGGCTTCAAAAGCACCTCTCCCTTTCCAGCACACTGCGGCGAAATGCGAAATGTATTGTAAACGAAAGGCTGATCGATTCGCCTGACACAACTTCCCGGCATATCCATGCACAATTTTGCTATTACGGCCTGCACGAGTCCGCCGAACCACCAACAGAAGCATTTGCTTTTAAACCCCATAAATAGACGACACCCATTTTGTAAAACACGGCCTATCATAAATCTTGTTCACAGTAACGTTCTCTGCGCTTTAACACATTAACAAATAAATTCTCTGTGTTCGTATGGCTATTGTGTAAGGTACTCTCTACATCTATTCATTTCTTCTCTGCTATACTCCCTCAGTATCGTAGTCACTGTCCTTGCCCTGTGTAGTAGTATTGTGTGCCTGATCTTTAATAAAACAGTCCGGTAACTTTAATACATAAGTTAGTAAAGTTGGAGCTGGACAAGGCTGCTAAAAATTGTCAGTAATATGCGTGCCACATCCTGCCGTCTCTTCCCGCTCCCGCGATCGAATCACCAACTTGTAGCATAACCGCGTAGTCAGCACCTTACAATCTACCAAGAAAATACCATTATGGACTTCCTATAGGTTTCCCGTCATAAGTAACAATACCACTGAGAATTAAATTCAAATACCACGCGCAAAAGGACTCCACTGGATGGCATATTGCACTACGGAAGGACCTTTAACGCCCTGTTGCACATAGGCAACATTAGAGCAATCTGTCGAGATGCCCTAACCCTCATTTAATTCTGCTTTCTTACAACTACGATTTGCAAGCCTTAAACTGATGCTTTCAAAATTATCACTAATCGCGCTGCTATATATAGAAGGCTAACGCGCAACTACAAGTTCAATTTATCCTCCACATGATAGAACTACCCAAGAAACTCAGTTTCATCAGAACACAGTGTGAGTCCTATCTAACTCGATATATGCTGGTGTCCTAATACTATTGTCGATAGTCCTGACTAGAAACCCGATATTAATCTATTTATAGCCAGACACCGGCAGCCTGGATCTTCCAACAGGTAATGCACCCCGACAGGCAGAAGGCTATTTTAAACTCAATCCAAACAGGCTTCAACGCCTATCCACGTGTCACAATGCCTCTATTCCTCACCATTATTTAGCCCCTCCAATAGCCTCACTATAAACTCATAATTTCCGGGTCCTTTCCCTCCTTTTCTACCTCATATACTAAAAGTTTCAATCTTTCCTTCCAACCAATACCCGAAGAGTCACGCCTGCTCAGCATTACTGGATTCCATGGCATTACCATCCATCCTTTGCCCTATCATGCCCACTATTTCTCATGTCATTGGGGCATTCCGGCTCAACATTCGCAAAGCCTTCTATGCAGCCACCCTTACATATCACTTTGGAGTAACAGTTATATAACTCTCCCCCAGGAGCAAATGGCACCTGTAATGACAACAAATTCATGTATCGCGACTGACGTAGCTGCTCTGCCTCGGAATGGCTGCATGGAACCCTGAAAACTGAGTGGTATTGCAAATAATTTGATTGGCCGAATGATCAAGCGTAACAAATACATGTATTTAAGTGAGCGCTTCAAACATACCTGAGTGGACACGTCTGCCTGCAACTAATATCAAAATCATAAATTTCTTCTGGCATATAGAGGTCATCTCCGTCTGCTATATGCTTATACTTTCATGGGTGGCCAAAGCTAAAGCGGAAGTTTTGATTGTAATATAGGCCTGCGCTCAATTGCTCCATACTAGACATGGCTGCAACTGCACTTAGTATTCAGCCATGCCTGAATTCCACAACTGTTCTGACGTAAACTACCCAGTGTCTCTGAACCCTGCTTACCTTTTACTTCGTCCCGCCTTTTAATGGCAAGCCACTCTTTGCCTACTTCCATAAGTAGGCCTAAGGGTTCATTCCCCTTTTGCCATGTGCGAAACAAATACCGAAGGTCAGACCATAACTATGCAAATGAGCCATTTTCATGCCTGCGGAATGGTTAAGCTAAAACGTTTCTTTACTGAGCCTGTAAAATGTGCCAACCGTGCCCTTACATTTTATGTATATTAATGCGTCAGTGGCAAACAGCCAAATACGCTGCCCCAAAAATGGCGTTCCGCAAGAGACCTTATTCGCCCTCCGAATCCTGGCGCTGTACATCCAGGTACCTGTATATATGTATAGCAGGAGCTAATGTCCCTAGACTGGGAAATCGTAATTGCTACGGTTACCTGCGATCAGATAATACAGTGTACCCTATTTTATTCAAGTCTAACTCGCAAATAGATTATTAAGGGAGCACTGACCGTGCCAATTTTGGCTGGACCCCTCACTGCCACCCAGAGCT